AGGCTTCAGTATTAGGGGCCTAATCATTTATTCATTCAGCCAATCGATATTCACTGAGAGTTTACTTTGTGTTAGGCACTGAGGATACAGTGAGTGCCTGCAAGAGCAACGAGTGTTACAGAAACATAAACAATTATAAGGCACCAAATAACATAAACTAAATGTAACTTAGTGGTAAGAGCATGAAACATCCAAATTTAGACTTGGTTCTGGCTCTTGTGCTTTCTGGCTCTGTGACAGGAACAAGTCTTCCATTTTTCTTGATTTGTGTCCACATATATTAACACTTGGATAATAAGGATTAAGTAAAATAATGATGACACAGTTCTCAAACTGGCACAGGTACCCATAAGAGTACTAAACAATACAGGTACATGAAAGCCCTGAAATAAATATGCTGCACTTTTGGGGGATGTAAATAATAGAATTTTGAAGATAAGACATAAATTTCAAATAAATTTTAACCTTGGAGTACCTACTCTGGACTATTCCCCCATCAATGCAGGAATGAACTCCTTCTCCTCTGATGTCAGATACACTTGGGTAGGAAACACTGTGCATGGCTGACGATGCATGCTCAACAAATAGCAACCATTACTGTTAATAATAAATAGCTATTATTATTAACCCATCCACAGCAACAAACTTACTCTGCAGTGCACGGGCCTAAGAGGGTGTCCTCTTTACCCAGGCATCCTTTGTTTCTAAGCTCTGGACTTCTTCAATTCCTGCCCCCAAACCCTATAATTACTTGGGAAGTGGAACTCCAGGTAGCAGGCTTATTCATAGCCTGAATGGGAAAGTGAAGGCAAGAAGATATGGCAGGATTTGCCCAGTATCTTGCAGTCATTAGTAGCAGAACCAGACCTGGAACTAAGATCTCATGCTTCAAGCCCTAGTTCCATACTTAACTTCTCAGAAGCCTTTCTTGACATCAACCTCTGATAGAGTTGTGGCCTCTCCCCTAAATTCACCATGTTTCTACAGCAATCTGTACATCTATTTATTATATTAGGTTCTTGGAATACAATGGCACATCCCTCTACGATAACTCTTATCTTGGTGTACTATAATTGTCTCCTTATAAGTAGAGTCCATGGAGGGATTGCTGGCCAGGAACAGCCTTCTAGCTCCTCAAAGGTGAGGCTCGCTAGTCCTAGAAATTGAAAAGATAATCCTCTTCCCTCGCTTATCACTGGGAGCTGTGAAAGGAGCACTTTTTTTTTTCTTTTAGATTTTTTTGAATCTTTTTTTTTAATCCTCACCTAATGATATTTTTCCATTTATTTCTTAGAGAGAGTGGGAGAAAGAGGGAAAGACAGAGAGAAATATCGATGTGAGAGGAACACATCAATTGGTTGATTCCTGCATGCACTCTGACCAGGGCCCAGGCTAGGGAGGATTCTGCAACCAAGGTGCCCTTGACCAGAATTGAACCCAGGACCCTTCAGTTCACAGGCTGATGCTCTACCCACTGAGCCAAACTGGCTAGGGCAAAGGAGCACATATTTTAAGACAGATCAGCTTGCTATAATAGAAAGCACATATAAAGACCCAAGTTCAAATTTTTCCTCATCCTTTAAAAGCTATACTAACACTGGTCAAGTCATATGACCTGAATTAAACTACCAGTTTCTTTAACTGTAAAGAAAGTGTACTACTGAGTGTATGATTAATAATATTATAATTAGTATATATATGAAGTACCTAAAATGTAATTGTCAAGTATTTTTTAACATAATCATTACTGTTACTAACAATAAATGTTTACTCTAATGTACTGTATTTGGCATTCCCACTTGGATCTTCTATATCCAGCAATGTGAAGGAAAAAATAACCTGAAAATTTGCCTACTACATAACACCTAGAAAAACTTGATCAAACAAATACTTTACGTTATCTAACAAATATAGGCAGAGTTGAGACTTTAAGAAAGAAAAATATCTCAAGGGGTTAAAAATACAGAGGAAACTAAAAATCAGGCCCTCTCTTAGAGAGCTTGGACTGCTTCAGGAAGGTTTTCTGGTCTGGGCAATCCAAGGGCTTGTTTTTCAAGTCACAGAGTGTGGAACATGAGGCTTTGGGCCTTGGAGAGGCCCACTCTCTCTAATTCAAATTCCCCTGCATAAAGCTGGGACCTTAGAGAATATCATATTGTCAAAAATAAATAAATAAACTGGCTCAAAAGTACAAAGAGACAACAGGAAGCTTAGGTTAAAAAAGAAAATTTCCTTAAGAAGTTGAACCTTGGCCTCCACCCTCGCTCCTGAGCAGCTGGCAGGCACCAGAGATGCGGCTGGCTCAGCTTCGTTTCCTCTCCTTTTTCTCTCCATTTTTCTTCTCCTTCCCCGGAGGAGAAAACAAATAAAGAAGAGCAAATAGCCACACAAAAGAAAAAGAAAAAGAAAAAAAAAGAATATGAACCCTTGGTCTATGAAGATTGAATTTATTCTAGTTGTGTGTTTATACTACCTGTGTGGTCCTAGAATCTCAGGCAGAGAAATCAACTTAAAACACAGTTCCAGGCTGACAATATTTCTTGGTGATTAGTAGAAACAAAGGCAACCGGTCCTCTCTTCCTCCAGAGAAGTACTAATCACATTTAATTCTCATGACTACTATATGAATTAGATGATACCATTCCCGCTTAGAAAAGAAAAATTAAATTTAGGGAGGTTTAGCAACTTGCCTAAAGTCACCTCACTATTATGTAACAAAGCTGGGATTTGAACCTGGTTGTTGTTCATTCAATCGAAACACATTTACCTAGTTCTACTATGTGCCATGCAAAGACAGATCTATTCCCTATCCAATATACCACACTGCCTAATCTTCTTTGTGCAAACAATTAGATAAATGCAACTATTTTCTTCTTTCTCAAGTTTAGCAGTTCAGTAAGAATGAATGCAGTCAAGAGTCAAAGGAAACCACAGGATTACTCTGGGCTCTGTTTCCCAAAGCAGCTCAGTCCTCTTCTGGCAAAGGAACTTGGGTTGCTGAACACTCTGAACTGGAAAGGGAAACAGCAACAGGCTCCCTAAGCTAGTGAGGCATGGGGTTTTGCCCAATGGGTCCTTGTTACTGGAATTAATTTTATTAGAATAAATACACAGAAGTTCAAAGAGAAAATGTTTAACATTAAGGCAGACTTGGGATAATAAAGTTGTTGTGATAAACACAAACATAAAACATTGAAAGTTAGTAACGACAGCTACAGTTACATCAGGCTCAACCTCTAAAATATTTCTGAATGTTATTTAGGAGCATTGAGAAAAATCCTGATTTACAAGTAAGTAGCTGCAAATGTTAGCAGTATTTTAAAATTAATATGCATTCTTAGAAGCTTAAAGTAACACATTGATCATCTTATGTGTATGTGTGCTTTATATAAATAGTTCTAAATATTTTTAAAATATAAGATAATATATTTGAGGAATTTCTGAAGCACCCTTAGTGCTCTCTCTTATAGGACAGTTGGAACAACCCAGGAGTTCCCTGAGATCCCTGCCACCAAGACCATTATTAATCTACTTTTTGAACTTCATTTCTCACTTTTCCCCTTTTCTACTCTTCACTCCAGCTAACCTCAAGTATTGACTATACCTTGAGCATACTTTCTTACTTCCATGTGTTTGTTCATACTGTTACCTTCACCTTCGACTTAAATTCATGATATTTTTGAAGGCTCATTATATGTTAAGCATCATGCTAGCAACTTAATATATATTTTCTCACTCGCTTTCACTACCATACATCCAACCCATCTTTATTTATTTGTAAATCATAACAACCGTTATTAAGCACTTTGTACCAAATATATACTGAGTGCTTTACACTAGCTCATTTAATCCTTACAGCAGCCTTATGAAATGAGAGCAATACTATTGCTCTCATTTTATAATGAAAACACTGAGGCTCTCGAAGATAAAAAACTTGCCTAAGGCCAAGTAAGAGAGAGAATGCTTCCTGGAAAAGTGCTATCTGGGCCTCAAGCTGAATTCTTGAAGAATAAAGTGAAGCTGTCAGGAGACAACAGCATTCGAGACAGAGGGACAACACGCACAAAGGCAGAGAAGTAGGAAAACAGTTTGGTATGCTGTTCAGGGGGAAAAATAATCAGCCTTCACAATCAGCAGACCTGGACTCAAATATCTATTTTTATTTTGTATTGTAGCCTCTTATTGTAACTATGACTTTCTCATCTGTGACATGGTGATGATAAGAACATTACAGAAGCCAAAACCGGTTTGGCTCAGTGGATGGAGCGTCGGCCTGCAGACTGAAAGGTCCCGGGTTTGATTCCGGTCAAGGGCATGTACCTGGGTTGCGGGCACATCCCCAGTGGGAGGTGTGCAGGAGGCAGCTGGTCGATGTTTCTCTCTCATCGATGTTTCCAACTCTCTATCTCTCTCCTTCCTCTCTGTAAAAAATCAATGAAATATATTAAAAAAAAAAAAAGAACATTACAGAAATGCTTTAAGATTAAAGTGCCCAGTTCTGACCAGGTGACTCAATTGATTGGAGCATCGTCCCATAAACCAAAAGGTTGCAGGTTCGATTCCTGGTCAGGGCACATACCTAGGTTGTGGGTTCGATCCCCAGTTGGGGCACATATTTGAGGCATTCGAGGCAACTGAGTTTTTCTCACATAGATGTTTCTCTTTCTCTCTCTAAAAACCCATAAAAACATATCCTCAGGAGAAGATTAAAAAGAAAGAAAGATTAAAATGCCCAGCACAGGCCCAGACCCATAGTAGGTACGCAATAAATGAATGTTACCTCCCTTCCTTTCCCTTAGCTGACAATTCAGTGAGCATTAGTCTCAATAATGTGATTTCCATGTCCACTGGACGTCAGACATATCTCCCTTCTACAAGTTTGCAAGCTTTACCAAACAAACCTTCTGGAGGCAGAGTACACCAAAAGTCATTCAGCAATTTATTTGGCAGTGCCCTTAACCATCATTTCTCAAAATGAGAGCCATTCTCATACCACTCACCTGTGTAAGCCATGTTCTTAGGGTTGCCATAAGGAGCCCCAGGCTGCACGGGGCTATACACAGGGTTCATTGTGGAAGACTGAGGATCCTACAGAAAAACAAAGAAAATAGCATTGATTATTAATTGTTCATTCTCCCTGACATCAGTTTCCTCCCTATAATTTAGAGTTTATAGTAGAAACAGGATTAAAACAAAAAGCCATTTGTTTGTAGTTGGCCTTCTGCTAGACACTTTTCCCAATATACAGATGAAGATATTAGGAAACAGATAACACTTGCCTAACGTCAACCCAGGCCATTGTCTCTCAGCTAGTACTGGTCCCACTATCACAGATGACTCTGTCACTAGCATGCTAACCTCTCTCTTGCTGTCAACATCCTGATGTAAAATCAATCAATTTAGCCTCTCTGAGGTCCATTTTAATTCTAAGGATGCTAGTCCAGGAGCTTGGAAAGGGTACACTTCTATTCCCTAGGGGAGCCCGAATGTCTGATGAACAGCACACAGAATTCTAGAAGGAAGAGTAGCAAGTGTCTCATCCACCCTTAGCATCTGCAGAGGACAAGATACTAGTTACTAACAGCT